ATATTTTTACAATACGTAGCATTAAAATTTAAAAACACGATGTTTTGCTTTGAGTTTTTGGAAAATTACACGAAAATCGATTTTAAAATGGTATTTTCAAATAGTAATCATTTCCGAATTCAGTCAGTAAGTCAGTAAGTTGGAACGTCATACGATTTATTAAATAAGATTAATACTTTTTAAAATAAATAGTAAACAAGTTGTCTATTAGTATGCATGTCCTATTTGTTAATACATCTCCTGGGATGTAAACGCATAATCATATAGCTTTACAAAGTATGTCCCCGTAGCTATGCTAACAAGTTGTTAGCAAATAACTCATAAAACTAGTCCCACTCATTATGTTACCAAGAGCGCTTCTTATCATAAATTCAAGATTTAGTTAAAACATTTTATAATCTATATTTCTTATACTTCTACTACATAAGGACTCTGATAATCTCAATATAAATTCATTTAACGGATACTGATGATTTCAAAAACTAATTTTAGAAGAATATCAATGTAATCACTGTGACTAAACAAATCCTTACTAATCTATACTATTATAATAAAGCGTAAACACACTTCTTTGTTGCCTAAGATGTCAGCAATTACAACATATTTTTGAATAATTCCTTTTTTAATAAAAAGCTCTACACTTACGTCACGCTTTAGGCTATATATTTTCACGCCATTAAACTTAGGGAGTAAATATTTTGGATAAAAACCCTAATGTGGGAAAGAGATCATAAGTTGCTGCCAACATCAAGATTGCCAAGGTCATGTCATGTCAGTTTGACATTTGCTATTGATAATTTGACAAATGTAAACAAGAAAATAAAATTTTCATAATTCCATGCGGATGAAGCCGCACGGGAACAGCTAGTCTTACTAATATTATAAATGCGAAAGTATGGATGGATGGATGGACGGATGTTTGTTACAGATTGTAGCCTAAACGGTTGTTGTTGTTGATCTCGATGAAATTTGGCATAGATGTAGAGGATAGTCTTGAACAAATAGGCTACATATGTTTTTAACTCCAAGAGGACGAAGTCGCGGGCGCAAACTAGTTCTCAATAAAACGCACATAGTAATTTAAACAAACATAACTATAACACAAATAAAATAAAAGCATTACGTAGTTGCTATTAGAAAATTTAAACTCTATTATTATTTAATGTCGAGAATAACTTGAACATATCACGTTTTAATAAGTTTGTTGGACAAGTTACTACACTATTAATGCTATTATCAAGTACAAAGTGCTCAACAAGTAAAGTTTAATTGTAGTTTCTACTTGAATCGTCTAAACACGCACAATGATAGAGCGTGCGGCTTCTGCGCACGCCGCAAACTCATTCACTGTACTCATTATAAAGTTTCCCGGATTAAAAACATAAATATGAACTTGTTATAAATAAGCTTTCCCGTATCTAACTTAATATATTACGAATTATGTGACCTATTTTAAAAAAGTAAATGAAATTTAACAGTGGCAAAGACCGCTTTAACGTCTTCGCACGAATGTGACGGCTCGCCCGGTGTAATATCGCGACCACACAGAAGACAGGTGTGAAATGGGAGCAATTCCGCGTTTCGTCTGATGAGTGTGGTGCCGGAGGCCCAGTATTAGTACCTTTCCTTTTTAAAGTGGATTTAACGGTGATGGGGACGGTTACGGTGGTGACGCATAAGAAGGAGAAATATTATATTTAATTGCATCACCTCCTACGTTGATTAAGGGTAGGCAATGCATTTGCAATTGCGGATGTATATGCGCAGCGATCGAAGCGAAACTCTGGTGGCCGCTAGATCGTTTGCCACCTTAGATTATAAAAAATACATTTAAAAATGCACATTTTAATTAACTGCCATCTACATTTTACATATACATCAAAATATATTTATGATATTTTAACGTTTATAGAATTTGTCTCAATTTCACTATATAATATTCGATTCTGTTCCGTTCAATTATTTTCCATTATTACTCAGACAGTACATTAATTTCGATCACAGCCAGGTGGCATTCAGTGGGAAGTTCATCGCTATTCAATTGTCTTTAATTGGGACCAAAGAGCAAGTAATTATTATGCATAACTTCACAAGTGCTATTATAGTCCGTAGATTTAATGGCTCTTACAAATATCTTGTTTTAACAGCCATCGTAGGGTTAAACTTCGATTTATTTTTCGGCTGATAACCGACCGAACGATTTTTTCATTACAAAAACTGGACCCATTGGGTTTTTCTTCCTAAAGGTATATCGATCGGCCAATCGGATCAACGGGAAAAGCCTATATTTCATGTAGTAGTTACTTATATTACCTTGAAGTATGGAATAAGTACGTACTTCCAAATATTCTTTTAAAAGACTAACATTTATATAACCGTGTTGAAGACCGAACTTGTGAAAACTGTATACAGTTTTTTGTGAGATCCCTAAAGTTGGCGTTTTCATAACTCTTTCTTTATTGAAGACTTTAACAAGGTTTCCCATGACGTAACAATCCACTAGGATGGCTACTGAGCCAGCATTAGAGGCAAATGGTATACGTACAACATATGACTGAATTTTTTTTTATAAAAAAAGAAATTCATAAATTACGTAATGTAAAAGGTTACTTGATAATTTATTGATCGTAATGATATGTTTTTGGAAATCTAACCAATTTAACGGCGATGAAAATAAAAAATAAGTCAGATAGGATTTAAAAAAAATGAAATCAGAAGAAAATTTTTATTTCTTGTCTATAAAATTGTAATAAGCTATAAATATAATTGTTATTCGATGATGAAAATGTTGCTCTTAAAATTAATAAGAAAATATATATTTATAGTACTTTTAAAAAGGCAACAAAAACATCCTTAAGATTAACTTTTCATATTTCTATAACAACTTTGGTACAAAAATCTTGTATAGAAGGAGAATGATTAAAGGGTCTTGAATTAATCTAACGGAATTTTATCTCTTGATATATCTCTATTGAAAGAAAATATATTTTCATAGAAAACCCACGCAAACGTATAAAAAAATAAAATAACATTTATTATTTGATATCCGAGCTTATAATATGTGAATAATACGATGTACACATATATCTTCGGTAAAAGATTTTTTAAATCTTTTTACATACGCTTGATTTCGACTTTTAAACTGTAGAATCGAATTGATCAGTTAACACTGTGCGTGTGTATGCAAAATTAGATCTGTCAGTTGAAGTTTTAAGTGATCAATTCGACTTTTTAGTTAACACTATAAATGAGAATTAAGCGTGTGTTATAATATAAATTATAACACGGCTAAACTCACGTGATAATATTCGGTGTAGGTCAGTATAATGTCTCACGAAAGTTTTAATAAGTTAATCGTGTGTTATAACTTAGACGTAAAATCTTAGTTAAAAATTACATTGAGAATTTTTAGAACTAGAGAACTAATTCATGTTAATGCTCAAATTTATCATAACGCGGATATTTGCTTACAATAGGTAAGGACTATCTGCTTACAATCATAATGTTTTTTTTTTTAATTTAATAAACTTAATTTTTTTATTCATTAATTGCTTTTTGTTTTACAACAAGGTAATTTCACTTAATAAATATGTGAAGGGGTCCTCTATTATCCGTCGCCTTCGTAACTCGGCGTTAGGCTATTGTTCGTGAGTTTGGGCACTTCGAAACAAACTTCCACGCTCAAGTGTTTGCTCCCGGCTCTTTGGTAAATTGTTATTCATAGCTTTGTATAAACGCTGTTCGTTGCAAAGAGTGCTTCACTCATACTCTTATCTAGTGCTTAATATCAACTCCACTTGGAAAAGAAAGATTGTTGTTCGTGTGTCATTTATGTTACACTCATTCTTCCCCTTCTTGGACAATGCTTGCCAAAAATAAGTACAAGAGAATAGATGATATTAAAAATAAAAGTATGTTTTTAAACAAAACAGCATGTCAAAAAAACGCATTATGTACATACTTACGTTCTATCTTACAAAGATTTTAATCCGTGAATGGATTGGTGGATGTTTTTATATCTCCAAACTTCAACAGTCTAACGTTTCTGGATGAAATTAGACACAGGTCATAGTCTGGAAACACGTATAGGCTACTTACTAAGTACTTTTTAGCTCCGCACGGATGGTATCGAGGGAGAAACTAGTATATTCATATAAAACAAGTGTTAAGTTAATAAAAGAAATAGTTGTTTCATTAAAAACAAAAATTGAATAAAAAAAAAATTAAATCAGTATCTACGAGTTTACCTTTATTGCTAAACTTTAACTGATCTTGAAATTAAATTAAAAGAATTATTCAAAAACTATTTTATTATTAAATTCTTCGGTTACTTTAAATAGATTTGTTGACATTGTTTTAAATAGTATGTAGTAATATTTTGGAAAATGTTAATATCAAGATAAAAACTTCACGTATAATAAGGACGACAATAGTTACTGTAGTTCCTCACACGGAAATTATAAAGGACATGCGCAAAGCTACGGTCTTGAATAACCTTAAGTCTGCATCCTTATAGTCTAAATTGAACTTTAATACAGTGATTTAAGATACTTTATTTACGTAGCAGATTTATCTCTGTGTGCAACGCTATGGTAAGTTAGTAAGAAGATGCGCTACCACACGTACTTACGCGCAACATTTGCACACATCAAAGCAAATATTCACACAGAATAGCAACGACTCCAAGTTGTTTTCCGTGTGTGTATATAAAACTCTCTGTGTATATATTTTCGTTGGAGTAAGATAGGGAAAAGAGGAAAAGCGTTGGTAGTAAACGCGAGCGAAACGCCGGCCGGGCGCGCCTGACAGTTGTCAGTACTTTGTGGAACACGGCCAGAGATGCTAGTCTCGAGGGAGACTGATTTGAACGTTCGACTTTCCGATTTCCCGCGCTTATTGATAACTTAAATTTACACTGATAACGGTTAAGAAATTAATTTATCACGTGATAAATGAATAGAGTAACCTAAATTTTAAATATATAACGTGTTTGAATTATGATATTGTGTAAAAGTTATTTAAAAGACATCTTCATGAATGTGTTTTGTTCCTTGATTGTCTTCGATTGTTGAAGTAAGTTTTTGTAGTATTTTGAATATCATAATTGTATCTTGTTAACGTTTTATTTTTAAATCTTCTTTTGTTTTTCGTAAAACTTTTCCTTCATCTAATTAATACCAACTTTATAATAAATAGAGCAATACATAAATATAAGTTTTACTCCATATATATTTAGTTTACCATGCTAAATTATTTTAAATTTTATTTACTAGGTACAAATCTAAAATTTTTAACAAAGAAAAATATAACCTATAACATTTTTAAAATAAAATATAACGTATTAAAGTTAAATTAAATACGTTTAATAAATTCTCAAATACAAATTATAGTATAAAATACTTAATTTAAATTCTTCAGTATCTTGTTACTATTTAATCTGTGCAGAAGATACAAAACCACTACAATGTTTTAGTAGCATAAGTTGCTAAATACAAAGTAAAAGCTAAATAAAACAGAAGCGAGCAGCGCTTGCTACGAACAGCGATTGATTAAAACAGACCTTGTTTTTGCTTAATCTGTTGAATATAACTTTGTAAGCTCTTTTCAGGACTTTAGAAGTGATTTTGACAAAAGCAACATTGTTTTGCTAAGATAGAGTTTCGCTTTAGCTTGTTAGTGTTTTGTTTTTTCGAACTTCTATGCTCGTAACATGTTTGTTAACAATTTTACATTTTTTTCTTTTGGTCCAGCTGAATGATTTAATAATGCCACTTAAATATGACAGACGTTAGTTTTGTGTGAATAACACAAACGTATATAATTGTATATCACGTGTCATTTCATAAGATTATCTCTTTGTTATGTTACTTATGGGTTTCTAAAGTTTTCATTTATTTTATCATTACTAAGTGATTAATTAGTGTTGGGTTGACCTAAGTTTTAATGGACTAAAAATCAAGTTACGTAGTTAGGAAAGGTTTTTCGTAAAGTTATCGAGCTAAAAACACTAACGAATTCTTAAACGTACCTGGGAAACCGGCCATTAGGAAAATAAAGTAATTTTTTGGATTAGTTTTTTTTTTAATTATTAACTAACGATTTCTAAATAACATATTGAATGTTCAATACTTTTTGAATAAAATGCATGATTTACAACAAAAATTAAAAAAACGATTGGACTATAAATCATTAATGCTTTTACCGTATTTCATCAGGTTATTAGCTCTGTCGATTCTAATGCGAACTGAATAAACTAAGTAGATGAAATACTTCAAGTCTGAATGGGCAAGCACTTGTCTCCAGTCTCAATGTTTATATTCAAGCAACTGCTCAGCTGTCCGTAGTTAAATCAATACTGTCAGAGAACTGAAATTTTAATCATTCGACTGAAACTTGAGAATTATTCATAAGATGGTTGAATTTAAATATTTTAGACACAACTTAATAAGTCTGTTTTTATAGTAAAAGCGTTAACAGAAATTCGCCTAAACAGCGAAGCGACTGCTACCCATGACATTTGCATTTGTAGATGCGTATTACCTTAAATTAACGGAGGAGGGGCTTACAGAAATTGTTTACCTTACCTATGAGACATATACCTCGCCATTTTTTTTGTATTCTTAAAGCTTAGTCTTCAAAATGCGTATTTTTAAAGTAGATCATATCTTTAATTAGATTGAGACGATAAAAATTATGATACGATATGATGATACTGCTTTTAGTAATGCTTACCAATACTTGTAAATAAAATCTTTGTCGTTCAAAGTCGAGTCGTTTATTGCCACTTGAATATATTTTTGTATTTTAATAATAAATGAGAAGATATCTAAAAATGTATCTATATACGTTGGGTACCAATAAAGGCTTACAAATCGAATAATTCCGACAAAGGATTTTGATCGTTTCTATCTTATTTTCTCAGTGACTGGAAAAATGCTCATACGAATATATTGACGGCAATATTTTTTATTATCATGTAAGATCTTTGAAGTGAATACAAAGTATTACACCTATAAAAGGATTTGACAGCCAATCCGAATTTCATTTTTGTTTTCTTATGATAAAGCATTCGGTTTCAAGGTAAGAAAGTAATATTAACAGAAAAGAATTCCTGAAAGAACACTAACAAGTGAAGCCGCTGGATCTTTCTAGAGAAATAGTTTCAATCAACTGTTAGATAAAGTTCGACTTGACGAAGCGTGCAATTTAAAATTGGAAAAGAATAGTTTAGAATTGCGCAGACCGACCCCGGAGCAGACAAAGGAATTCAAAAAACTCTTATTAGATTCATTTGTTGCATTTGTAATGTTAAATCCCTATTGTCATACCACAAATATTACTAGCTTTCGCCCGCGACGCCGTCTACGTGGAATTAAAAAAAAAGTGAGTAATCTATGTGTTTTTCCAGACTATCCTCTACGACTATGGCAAATTTCATCGAGATCCGTTTAGCCGTTTATGCTGCAAACTCTAAAACATCCATACATCCATCTAAGCTTTCGAATTTATAATATTAGTAAGTTAGATAAATTCTATGATTATAATCATATCTAAAAAATGCTTTTAAATAAAAACTGGACAGTCCTTGTCTCTGTAACACAATGTTGTTTCTCAAAGAAAAATGTTCGGTTTTATAATAAGCGATACAAATTATGTAATTTGTACAGGATTATACTAAGCACACAATTCATCTCGTTGTTTTATTTTCTAAAACTTATCACAATAAAGCTTCATTAAGGAAATACTTGAGATGAATAGAAAGCTATGTTGATCACCGTTATATTTTTAGCGTGAAAAGTAAGTGCTTTATAGGTGTTTACTGTCTACAGTAATATTATTTGAAACTAATCGTTTCAATTGGTTGACGTCAGCAATTTAATCAACAGATTCAGCAAACTTTTGGTCCTATTTAATCCCTATACGAAATTTAGATCAAGCCATAGTGGTCTGCACCAACAATGCTAACGTTGAAGTTTGTAACTTTACCCCACTCTCCCCTTACCCGTTGCCTACGCCCAAGATCGCCGAATACTGTCCAACGAAAGAGTTTTATTTGGAATTTCACCGATTAGAAGAGTAATATTGAAATAAATATTTAAGAATTGGACTACTAATAATTAATTAGTGAAGCAAACATAATTTTATGGAGGTACAGTTGCGTACAAAAATCATTTAAAGGTTCAAAATTCGTCTCGATTTAGGAAGATTAGGGAAATTCAAGTTTTGTTATCGTAATTCTAAAAGTTGAGTATGAAAGTAAAAGCTATCTATCAACAAGTTAGTATGCTGAATATTCACATGAAATATGAAAGACTACATGTTATACAGATGGTATGATAGTACACAATATCTGTATGATGGATGAATACTCTGCCGAGCGTAGCACAATTGCATTTCAAATTAATACGAATGTCCGTTCGATTTTTGAACTATCATTAGATATGTGTTATAATCACCCAGTTCTTGTTTAATCTGTAATTGTGATGATTAAAAAAAATAAAGATAACCATTATTTCCATTAATAAAACTATATCTAGTTTTATTCTATAATTTCGATAGATGGCGCCTTAATTGTTTGCTTTTTATTGCAAAGTAAATAGGTGGCATATTTGTTAGTTATCTTCAAGATCGTAAATTGCGCAAACTCTATCAATTTAGACAAATTTTAGAAATGTGGTAGGCATTGTTAACATTTGTAGAATTTAATTAACCTCAATCCTAACATAATAGTTGTATAAAAGCCAAGTAAAGAGTTTATTCCACTTGAACGTTTCCAGCACTCGTGAAATTAGTTACGTTAGAGCAGTTGTGCGACATTTGGCAAAGAAAAGAGTAAACTGTCGGGGGAACCTGCACGGTGCAGAATAAATGAAACGAGACAATGCAGAGCAATACAATTGCAGTGAAAAGACGCGCGGTCCGTGTGTTCCAGTTGCGAACAAGAGAAATGGTAGCGCGTCGCAGGTGCAGCATGGAACAATACAGCGGAGTGGGCACAATGCTCCAGCGCCTAGGCGACTAGGTGCCTACGCTACTACGCTCTATTGCGCCCCTGGCTGACAGGAATGTTTTCAAATTTGACTGTGACACTCTCGCCTACACATGCCTTGTCGCGTTACCTTTTATTAAATTATTCTTGCTTTGTACCTCATTGCTGTGAAATTTTTCTGCAAATAGTGTCTAGACACTTCTAGAAGTCTTCGATGAATTCGATATATGCTCATACGTTTGTCTATTCTCAGCATTAGGGATCTGATAATTCTTGAAGCTATAGCTACGAATGTAAAAATGATTGAAAAATAAACTTTATAAAATATCGGCAGCAACAAAATTTTCATATTTAAGCTATATGTAATGGAATCTATCGAATGCCATTTTAAATGCGATACAGTTTTCTCCTGTAAGCAACAAGGCAATTAAAGTGACCAGAATTTTTTGATACCGTCAACTGGTTTTGAGCACAAAGCTATGACCATCCGGAATTCATGCGCACGGTCCACTGCCCGCTCATCAATCATTCCGATATTGCGTGACACATCAACTTGCGACACACACACAAACACACACGGCCAAGCGTCCTGTTTACTTATTGGTTGAAAATACATATACTGGACAAAGATATGCTTGGACGTGTCATCAAAGCGTACACTTTGCGACTATCATATCTTTTTCGGTAAAATTAATTTTAATGTGTATTCTTTTGCTGGACTAAATAAGTCGGCCCTAAGGTTTGTTTTTGATTATTCAACTGTTACTCATTTACCTAATTTAGGACCTGAACCACCAAATTGTAAATTGTCTGATAACAATAGAACGTGTATAATACTTGATGGAAATATCGGATTTTGTTCCCTTATCTGACAGTGACATCTATCAGCCAGTGGTGGGACAGGGCCTTAAAGTTGTAAACTTCCATATTATAGCAACTATACATATATTTGCGATTATGTTGATAATTAATGTCAAAAAATCCAATATGCCATTGAAAATCTGTACTATGTATTCGTATTCGTATTCGAATGTTATTACAAACCACACTAGATAAAGTCGTTACATTCAAATCGCACGACCAA